TTCACAAGTCAGTCAACACTAAATCCAGATAATCAAAACTTTAACTGGAAGGCAAGTATCTGGAACGTCAAGACAGCACAGAAGGTAAAATTGTTTATGTGGAAGGCAGTAGGCAAAGCCTTACCAGTGGGAGAACAACTCGCATCATGACACAAGCCGCTTGTGCAAGATGTGGAGAACCAGAGTCAATCAACCACTTGCTTCTTCATTGTCCTTTTGCTAAAAAGGTGTGGGAATTGGCACCTTACAGAGATACAGTGGAATCTCATTCTATCCCCAACCTCCAAGTAGCAAGGATGGTCTGCTTGCCACCATCTGGTATCACTGCGGGACCTCTATATCCTTGGATAGCCCGTAACCATTATATATTTGAGAACCGTACCTTCACGGAGGAAGATACCATCACCAAAGCAATTCGAGAGGCTAGAGAGTGGAACTCAGCTCAATCCTCGACAACACAATTGCAGCAGGGGAACCCATCGCTTACCAGGGTAATCAATGACTCGACAAGCTCTCGAATTCTATCACATAGCCTCCGGTACTCAACCGATGCTGCTTGGCGAGCGGAATCGAGACTAGCGGGACTAGGTTGGCTAATTCGGGAGGATCATTGGAAAAGGATCGAAACTCGAAACCCAGATCAACTCGCCACTAATGGCAGAAGCAATGAAGCCCTAACTCAAGCAGTGTTTCGAAAGGATCAGTGCTTCGTGTTAGCCTCGGACTCGAAGCACCTAATCAATCTCATCAACGAGAACAATTTCCAGCTTGAAATCTATGGAATTATCCAAGATATAATCAAGCTCTCTCTAGATCTTAGAGTAACTTTGTGTTTGTTCCTAGATCGGAAAATATCGAAGCTGATTTGATAGCAAAATCAGTTTTAGCCAGTGTACCAATTGCTCCCGGTCCAATACCGGTTTAGTTTAATCTCAAATCAAATTTCGACCCAAAAAAAAAAAGTTTTTCTTCCTGGTAGAAAGTAATGTGCTAAGCTTAGTCCAACTAAACAACGGCTATTTCCAAGCTAAGTCTCATGTGATTTTGTTTGTGTTTGAATTAACTCTTACATTTCTCATATAACTAGATTTTGATCCACGCCAAGCGTGGAATTAAATATTTAAATATATTTTCTACTCGATCTTAATATTTAGACGTCTATTCTAATATTTATAAACGTATAAAATGATATGTATTGTGCATAAATGTAATAAAATTAATTTTTTACTAAACATATTTCAATATCATATATTTTGATCAATTTTGCATAAAAATATTAAAACTAATGCAAATGTTATTTATTTCAATTTATTTGAAGTGTCAAATTGAGTTTTATTATTTGTGTAAAAATGTGGAATATGCGATAAATCAAATAAATTTTAGATTTATATAAATTTGTCAAACAAAAAATAGATGTTTTCTAATAATAAAATATAAAAATATTTATAAGTGTAGTTATCATCAACAAATAAATAATATTGTTAGATTATAATAATAAAAAGCTTTTTAATATACAATTTTTTTAAAAAAATAGATGATATAGTAAGTCTAAATATTATATTTAGTTAAACTTAATTCTGTAAAATATATATATTAATGGGTTTATGTTATAAAATTAATAAAAATATATATAGATTTCCACCATGGCATATATTTTTAATTAAAATATTTTCATTAGTTAATTTAAATGACACATTTCTTAAAATTCTCATTAAATAATACATATGATTTTTTCATCAATTGTCTATTCAATTAATATATAGAAGATTAGTGGCATTTTAAAGAAAATTTCAAAATGATGACATTTTTGAAAAGTGGCATTTCTAAAAAAATCTCTACAATTTAGCTAAGTATCATGCAAATTAAATTTTGAAGATAAA